TCTTAACCATCCAGTAGAAAAGTATAAAAATGAAATATAAGAAGTAAAGCCATGCTGTTATGTTGAGCTATAGGGGACTCAGGTCAATAATTTCTGACATTGCCAGTCAAGCGGAAGACCCAATACTATTATGGGCTACTGGACTCTTTTAGAATATTTTGCTGAGTTAACACACCTATAATATTCAAATAACGGAACTTAACAAAAAAAAGGGGACACAGATGAATGTCCATTTAGTATCTGTGTATTCAAAGTGGTTAGGATAGATATATAGTCACATTCTCTTAATGAATAGAGGTATTTTTTCTAATGGTGTTTGTAAATAGAATATCATGTCCGCATTTTATACAGCAATTAACCACTAGGAAGAATGTATGCAATGTGTTAATTATTGAAACTGTCCTACCAATTTGGGGGGGGGAGAGCTTTTTAATAAAAAAAAAAAGAAAAAAGAAAAGAAAAGAAAGAGCCAGGAGTTAAATGAAAAGGGAGCTTTGAAATTTCCATTGCCTACCTTTGATATTGCTAGGCTTTTTTTCTTCTGTATGAATATATTACTTAAAACTCAGATATGAAAATGCCATAGTAAATTGATCCTTTATCAAAGTAATATGTTAGAACAATAACCTGGAATGGCCAAGTTCCTGTTCTGTGTTGCAGCAAGGCCTTGCTAAACAGCAGATTCTAAAATATATCTTCTTAGTATTTTATTTTCTTCCATGATAAGTTAGATCTTTGACACCTTTCTTTATACTATACATTGCTAATATCGATTAATTATTATTTCAAAGTTTTTGGCAACATCTCACGATTTTTGTTGGTAAACACATGCATATATTTGGAGCAGTTATCCATCATGATGCTTACCATGTTTACCATATTTTAAGCTCTAGATCTGCTTTCTCTTCCTTCTTCAGCTTGTCCTTGGCAATTTCTCAATAGAATTTTTGTAGTATAAAAGATTCCTTATAGTTATAGAAGACAACTACCCCATTAAAAACAGACATAATCTATAAGGTTATCTGCTGCCAATGATGTGTTGACATAGATTAGCTTATCTGCACACAAATTCTATACAAATGCAGAGTAAATCCACACCATTTAGCTGGCCAGCCTTAATACGACCCCTTAGCTGTTGTAATATCATCCAATTCATTGTTCAGAGTCATTCCATTGTACTCCCTGATGATTAATACACATTGTGACCAACGACCACTGACATTACAGAGGATGGTCTGCTCTGCTACAGTGCTCATTGTAGAGGACACATTGCTCTCTCCAGATCCTTCAAATGCCTTGAGCATTTTTGTACAGTGCGCATCCACTCACAGCAGTGTCACCTATGTTTGAAGTTCCTGAGAGCTGCAATGACTAGGAATGTCTTTCTCAACCCCATATCCAGCCATTAGCAAAGACTACCAGATAAGAAGTACAAATACTCTCACTGTCATTGCCAAGACCAGGATAACACTGACTATGGTCTTCAGTGTTATGCTTCAGGACTGAGCCAAAGTGACCCTCCATAGGACATGACTTGATATTATACCCTGGCTTGTTTCATTTCTTTTCTCCAGTATCTTACTGTTTTTCTCTTAATCTGTCCTCATAAATCATCTTTACATAAAGTATTACCTTAGGGTCTCTTTTTAAGAAACCTAGGCTAAAATAATGTGCTTTTCTTTTATGTGGAGTAGCTTGTAATGGCTAGCAGATAGGGGACTGATATAAATATAGCATGCAAATTGAGTTGATTTATAGATTTTTCCAAACTCATTAACTTTTTTGTTGTTGTTGTTTTGTATATTAGTACAGGCTCTACAGGGTCTTACTACACAGATTGGACTCCTAGTGATCCACCTGTGTTTAGCCTCCCAAGAGCTGGGATTACAGGTGCGCACGTCACCACACCCAGTCTCGATTGCTGTTTTAGTGTGCCCCAGGGACGGGGCCAGCACAGCATACCAGGGATCAAACCCCAGTCGCTCCATCTGCCTAAGCATGCATTTTAGTCTGCTGAGCTATTTGGCCAGCCTTTGAAGTCAACATTTTAAAAAGTGCCTAGGAGATAACTCAGTAGAATAAGCACCTGCCTGGCAAGCACAAGGTCCTGAGTTCAATCCCCAGTACTGCCAAAAAAAAAAAGTGCCTAGGGTCTAGTTTTCTTATGCTTTAGTTTTTCAAAAAGAAAAATTTAGCAATATATAAAATATCAAAGAAAAAAATTTAAAAAGTCTCAAACAATACAAAAATACAATACAAAAATATGCACAAGTTTATTCTCTATAGCATTATTAGTGACTACAAAATACTGGAAACAACCTCAATACACTTATAAAAGAAAATGCATGGTTAAACAAATTATGCTATATCCATATAATGGAGAACAAGATTAATGAAGAGATATAGAGTGACTTCTACAGCATACTTCTAACTGAAGGGGAAAAAAGCAGACCCCAAAAAACTACTTCATATAAAACCATAGTTATAAAACTTTAGTTAATAAAAATTTCTCTCAAAATTTTAATTTAAAATTAAACTTCATAAAACATTAATGAAATATTTAGACATACGACATTACCCTTTATCTTGGAAAAAAGGGGAGAGAATAAGAGAATGCTCGTGTATCTGCTATTTGTGCAGACGAAAAAGTGGGAAGATAAACCAAAAAAGAAATTTAAATACAAGTGAATGTAAGCGCATTTCAAATTAATGACAAACCACAATGGCTTGGGTACAGAAAAAACATCTAATCTAAATAACTTTGAAAAATAGTATCTTGCCAAGCTACTATAAGCCTAAAGACAAAATGCTGCAACACAGCTGATAAAATGTTTCTTACAAAGATATGGGTTAGCAACTCTGAAACTCCTGTATGTATACATCAGAAGTGAACTGAATTTTTCACTACCAGAAAAAAGCACTTAAAACTACACATATGGGAAAAGCTACATGAACTCCATGGCCTGGGGCTGAGACCAGAGGCATCAGATTAAAGTCACGGTTTTAAAAATATACAGACCAATACATGCAGAAGCTGAGTGTATACATGAATAGGCCGGTACACACACACACACACACACATACACACACACATACACACACACAAACACACTTCCCAACTTCGCCAGCAGAGAGGACCTAGAAGCAATGGTACCCTAGTAGCACTGAGTACATCTAGCTTCCATCTCTTGGTTTCTAATACCATTCTCCAACAAAAGAACCAGGAGTCTTTGGAGAAGTCAGTTCCAGGAAGTGGGAAAGAAAAATGAAGATTAACCTGAACATCGTGTGGTATCAGACAGGAGAGTGCTGGAGAGCAGATGCTGCCGAAAGGAGACAGAAGCCATTCGGAGAGATCTTCTGCTGGCTGGAACAATCTGAGCAACAACTAATTAATGACAGCCTTGGATTTGTAAGCCATAGAATAATGTAACAATTTTAGAATCCTTATTAATTTTTTTAAAACTTGAAATATAAATGTGGGAGAAGGGTCAATTCTTTTTCCTTCAGGTAGAATTCCACTTAACAAACATAGCAGAGAAAAATCACCATTAGGAAAATATCACAATAGTGACTATCACAGGCAAATGTACCCATGGACAAAAGGAGACAGCAAAAGACTGAGAAAAAAAAACATGATTTACATAGTCTAAAAATATCAAGCCCAAAACTTACCAGGAATAAGACATTTTGGTATCATGAAGCTCTTGATATGACACACTGAGGATTCACCATGATTCCTGGGTTATTTTGCCACATACATGTAGCTTCATTCCAACCAAGAGAAAATACCAGAAAACCCAAATATAGAACCAGTACTCATTAAAATGAGCCAAGGTCATGAAAGACAAGAAAGAGCGAGAATCTATTACGACTGGAGGAAACTAGGGAGACATAACTAAGTGCAGCGCGGCTCCTGGGACAAGAATGTGAGTGGAAAAACTGGTGAAGAGCAAGGGACGTGTGTAGCTCAGTTCACAGTGCTAGAGCAAAGTTAACCCCATGTTCATCATCAGTGGTACTACAGGTTATGTAAAGTTAACATAAGGAGAACTTGAATGAACAATATATGTGAACTCTGTATTTTTTAGAAAAAATTAAAAATTTGTTGAAGTCTAAAACGAGTTCTAGTAAAAAGTTAAATTTTTTAAAATTGAAAATTAATTTAGCATAAATGTAGCTGTTTTAGTAACTTTAGAATCACTACACAGGCTGGGGAGATAGCTTGGCTACATAAGTGCCTGCCGGGCAAGCACAAGGTCCTGAGCTCAATTCCTGGTACCGCATGCTGAGCCAGCCCTGGAATCTCGGGCGCACCATACCAGCCCCAAAACTGGGCATGGTGGCACACGCCTGTAATCCCAGCACTGGGGAGCCTCAGACAGGAAGATCACTATAAGTCTGAACTGCATAGCAAGACCCTGTAGCAAAAATAAAAAAGAAAGAAGAATCACTACACACTGACCTACATTAAGGTATCTAATGGAATTTGAGAGGCTGGATCTACTAGGCAGTACTGTTCACCTACAATTCCCCCTAAAACTGCAGTCCTCAATAATGAATCTATGAGACACTCCCTTTCACCTGCTCTTAATCCCTGTCATCTTCGATAGTGCAGTGATTTTCTTTTTTTATGTCATAAGTAGAATGGGCTTCATGTAATGGCTTACACTAGGCTGCCACACTGATGAAACAGGTAATTTAAAAACCTACCATTTTAGAATCATAAGATATACACAAATACCTGGGTTTCTAGACTGTGAGTTCTTGGATTATTTTTCATGTTTAATAATAAAATAAAAAACAGGGAATTAAACTCCAAAATACCATTGGTATGCTCTCCTAAATTCATTAAACATAACAATATTTCTACTTTATTTCCGTTCTTACTTATTTTTCAGTGTTGAGGATAGAACCCAGGGCCTGTGCCTGCTAAGCAGTGCTCTACCGTGGAGTTATACCCCCAACCGTCAATCTATTTTAACAAGCTATTCTCTCACTTGGAATATGCTGGAGAAACCCAATATGGGTTGTCTTCCGCTGCTTTGGCATGACGCAAAATGGCTTCCCGGGGATTACTGTCGTCTGTCTTGTCCAAAGCAATGTTCTTCACAATGTAGGATGACAGAGTGCCCCCATGGGTTCCAACTCGCCCACCTCGACCTGTTGCAAACATATTTAAACAAAGTCAGAAAAAGAATGAGCATGACGATGTGGTTGTATCTGTGTATGTATACTTATCTGAACACAGCTCAAAACTATCTTGAGTATCACCCTTTCAGTTTCTCTGATATTCAGAACCAAAGTAAAATCACCAGACTACAACTTCCCCAGAATATTTTAAAATAGGAAGTATTCTTTTTTACATTTCTGTCTCTTCATTGCTTAATTTACAGATCATATCAATAAAGAACTGCAACTAACTCACCTTTAAAAAAATTCCCCCAGCCTGAACATTTAAAATTCAATATAAACCAAAATAACTAATAATCATTAGATGGTATTTTAATTTTAAACAAACATATTGTAGGGCTGCCATGTTCCAAATTCCCTTTATGCTGCTATAATTATGAGAGAAAATGAAACTGCTGAACACATTGATTCTCACTCTTTCCCCGTACTGCAACTGCGGTAGCAAATGGGAAGCTCTTCAAGGGCAGGGATTTCTGCCCTGCCGGATCCATAACAGCTACTATGGGGCTTAGTACGCACAAAATGTCTGATGTTTTAGAAAGGTAACATAAATATATGAAGCCAAACAATTGAAAACTGATTTCATGAAGTAAGATAAGAAAGTAAGTCAGGAAATAACTTCCAAGAGAATCTTTGTGGCCAGTAACTATCTAAAACTAATGAATCCATTCTGGGAAATCTCAGAAGGCAGAGAATTCTATTTTCAATGAGCAGAATGGATTAATTACAAAGAAAAACAGAGAGACAGAGACAGAAAGAGAGACAGAGACACAGAGACAGAGAGAGAGAAAGATTGCTTTTCAATGGGGATAGGAAGAAGTCAACAGCCACATCAGAAAAAAACAGAATAGGAAAAAAGTGAAGTATAAAGCTACAAAGGCAGGTTACAGAGAATGGTGAACCTATACAAATACAGGAAGCTTATGGAAGTTTGAGAGCAATAGCAATATGAAGGCAGACCAAATAGCTCAGCAGATTAAAGCGCCTGCAAGCAGGCACATGCGCTGGGGGTTCGATCCTCAGGCCTGCTGTGCCAGCCCTGCTCCCGGGGTACGCTGAGACTTCAATTGAAACTGGGTGTGGTGGCACACACCTGTAATCCCAGCTCTTGAGAGGCTGTAAAAAGGCGGATTAGTATGAGTCCAATCTAGTAGTGAGACCCTGAACACCCTGTAGACCCTTCCCTAAAATAAAAAAAAAAAAAAAAAAAACAATGTGAAAGCTAAAGAAATTAAGGATAGGGGCTAGAGATATAGTTCAGTGGCACAAGCACCTGCCTGGCAAGCGCAAAGTCCTGAGTTCAATTCCCACTACCAAAAAAAATTTTAAAAATTGAGGATAAAAACCTGTGTACAATAAGTGGAAATATGGCAAAGACAGGAAGTGACCTAAATTAAAGAGCCTAGTTAGAAGTTCTGCAATACTCTAAGCAAGAATATTATATGAAGTGACCTAAATTAAAGAGCCTAGTTAGAAGTTCTGCAATACGCTAAGCAAGAATATTATATATGGATTTGCTTAGGAGGGTGGTTAAAAAAAATGAAAAAGAAAAGATTGCGAGAGACCTATGAAATATTTTCAATGCTGAAATGCCAAATACATGCAGGATCAGCGCTCAGGTGCAGACGAATGAACAAGTCCAAAATTGCAGACTTGTGAGCACAGGACAACTGGGAACTACACCGGACAGCAGAAAATACACCTCTAACATAGGTGTGTGCTATATGTACTGCAAACTGATGCTGCTTTTATGCCTGGAGACACTTACTTTCTTAAAAATTCTAGGAGCTTTATTCATCTTCTACCAGTATAGGAAGCTTTTTTTTTTTTTTTTTTTTTTTTAATCAATGCAGAACTAAATCATTGCTACTTTCTGCCCTATGTGAAACTGAACCTAGCCTGGATCCTGGTCAAAGAGTCTGATATTACATATTGTGCCAATATTGATGGCAGTGCTTTTAACACTGGCTTCCAAGAAGCCCCAGTGTTCTACTGAGATCATCTCTAGGCCTCAAGTTAGAGACTGAGCAGAAAGGGCCCCAGATTCCTCCCTACTTAAGCCTTTCACCTTTATCCGGTTTACCTATTATGATTCTGTATCAGGTCTTTAAAGAAAATGTCCTTTTGTCAAAAAGAAAGCATTTGAAAACCATTACCTAGTAAAATCTCTCAAGAAGCACCCAGGCCCACAAGATCATCCTGTCTCTGTATCAGTCACCTCCACCCTGCCCTTCTATAGGTTGCTAACTGGATCAGTCACCTGGGCCTGCTACAGGAGGTTCGGGTTTGTGAGACTTGAGGGGGTCCAGTCTGTCCTTCTCCAGTTGTTTCCTTGTACTCCGTTGGCGGGGTTCACGGAACATAGGCAAGGCATGAGCTACAAGAAGACACATTTGAAACATTTCATTATAATAACAGCCCTTCATCTAAAAACATAGCAAAAGCATGACTAACCGAAAGATGAAATGGAAGTCATAATGACGGTCTTCATCTAATAATAAAAGACAGTCTTACTGTAACCAATTAGTTCATTTGTTTGATATCAGACTCATTGTTCACCTCTCCTGGCAACCAATGGTACTTGGGAAACACTGTCAAACATTGTCAAAGAAATAGTGGTGAGGCCGCCCACCTCCTGAACCAGGGGGAGTAGTTAAAACTTAATTTCTATGGTTTTGAAAAGAAATACTTAATGGAATGGTTGTTTTTTCTAATAGGACTCAAATGTGAATAATGTCAACATCTTGCCTGTCAGCTCTGAAGTTCCCTCAGATGCCTCCTAACCACTGGAATCACTTCACACATTTCTGAAATGTAACCACCTCTCAGGAGTTGACAACACTGACTAACCGGAAGGGTGGAACACTTAGCCCATGGAACTGGGATAAAGGTTGCCTTGAATGCAGGGATGTCTGAATCTCCTGGCAGGAGGACTAGAAGAGGCTACTAACCCTCCTTTCATATTGTACACAAAACAGGGGATAAAAATCACAGTCATGTTGCTCTTAAGTTGTTGTTGGGATTTACTTAAAGTCAAAATTAAATTTCAAAATATTAAGTATAAGAATTTAAAAAGGAGACAGTGTAACATTTGGGGGAAGGAGAAAATTATTGGAGTAAGTTTGAACAAAAAGTATCAGAATAATTTGTTTCCTTACACAAAGATTAAAAGCTGTTTTTAAAAGGAAACTTCTTCCAGAGGACCAGGAGAACAACAGAGGTTTAAAAGGAATTTATAACATGAGTGAAATGTCTCTTAACACCTCAGAAACTCCCAGTGTCTGCTTCTACCCTCTGTCCCCACTGCTGACAGGGGCTAGACCATATCATTCATGGTAAAACATGCCTGCTCTGAGCTGGGGACAAGAGAACACAGCCATCCTTAGCCACCCGTCACTCTATCAGGCAACATGACAAACAGTATTTTTAGGAAGGGGAAAAATAGCTTTTCACTTCAAACGACTAGAGGAATTTAAGTAGGCCGCGTGTAATTACATGAGCTAGACTGGTTATGACACTGACTTTAACACTTCTACTCTTGCAAAAAGCGTCACTGGATCTCTTCAGTGATGAGTCTGAAGTTCCAAGGGACTTGGTCCTGTACAAGAACCACCACCAGAGAGAAACCCAGCAGTACAGCGCCCCCTGGGCTTTAGACTGAGGCATCCATTGTTAGTTTATTTAGCATCAATAAACTAACAATGGATGCCTCCTCCGAGATTTCTTTCCTAGCTGTCTCCTCCTACAGGGCTGAGATTACAGCTCTGGGAACAAAGGTCTGCCAGATTAATGAGGTTGTATGACTGGCCTGAGAGAAGCCATTTTGTGCACCCTGGTAAAATTTCTACTCATACATTAGGTAGTTAATTTTATATATAAATGCTTCCAGATGGGTCTAGCACATGGTCACAGATTTCAGGAGGCACTAGAAGAGACCCTTCATCTAGACTGCTTACTCACTTGATGAATTTCAGCCATTCAACATCACACTACCATTTTGTGGCGAACGTGGACAAACCTAGGCCTCTGATTCAAACACCAGTACTTTACATTGTTTATTTTTAGACTAGACTGTTATTCTTTAAAAGGCTTATATAGAGTATGCATTAGGCTCAGACAGGCTCCTCCCACTTGGATTAGAAGTTATATGAGACACTCCTGATTCTGTGATGAGTCATAGAAGCTAAAGCTATCACATAACTCTTTGTACAATGGGAAATTTTGTAACATATACCTGAACTCAGGATTTTTCTCTCTAAAACAAAATGTTACCACAGGAGAAAAGACAGACATATTGCTGAGAATCATGTTAACAACTTACGGGTGATAATGTAGTCCTGGGTCAGAGTTTCAGCTTGCTTCGCCTTCCGCTGGGTTTTAACCACACATAATTTTGCTCCCCTAAGGGTGTAAAAGCAAATTGGTTCCTATCTTTGGTCTTAGGAACAGAAAATCTATCTTGAAAACATCAGATACTTTCAGAAGCATACTCTGCACAGTGTTTTGTCAAATCCTACACTTTCTGAGGGATGGCAACAGATGGGGTTTTGGTGATAAGGGATTACTGAACAAACAGAAAGGCGAGTCTTTCAGTCAGCAGTCACTACCAAGTGAAAGGACTGGAGAGGAACAGGACACCTGAATATAGACTTTTTTTTTTTTTTTAATCTTATCAAAATAACTTAGAAACTCAAGATGTTAAAGAAATAATAAAATTAACCAACATCTTCACCGTAAGGTCACAGGGTTCAAATTTTAGTTTATGTCCCAGATGGAAGCAACCTGGGTGGCCTACACCACAAGTGGCATATGTCCATTTTCTCAAATATAAGAGTACAAGTGTCTGGAATGGAGTCAGCTTGGTAGCACTGCCAAGGGGCTATAGCCTAAGAATGTGTGCAATTAATCAAAAGTGTGCTTAGAACATTTTACTCTTCTTACCAATGCTGAGTTTTTTCTTTTAGAAGAGACAAATATAAATAAGCAAATTTCTGAAAAATTCCAAGTAAAGATAGCATTCTACTGGATGCTTATCAAATGAAGCTAATAATTTTTCTCAAGTGAAATAAACTTATAATCACATCATTTTTAAACATCTTTATTAAAAACAAACAAACAAAAATCCAATTTATTCTTTTTTTTTTTTTTTTTTTTTGCGGAACTGGGGATTGAACTCAGGCCCTTGCGCTTGCCAGGGAAGTGCTTATTCCACTGAACCATCTCCCGGTGCTTATTTATTCTTAAATTCCATAAGACATAACCTTGCTTTATGATAGGGCATGAGTTCCAGCCCTGGTCCAGAAAGTTCTGAAGGAAGACAGTTTTGTTTGCTTCTATTTAGAGTAAAATTATGGTCAATGAATATTCATTAAAAGATGATGGATTTCATTTTCTAGAAAGGATGTGAGTTTTCAAAACAACCTTATAGGGAACTCTAGTGAATTTAGCAAGTGAATTTTAATTCCAGCTAAGCAAGGCTTGCTCTAGAGAAAGAGCTAATTGCTAATGTACCTTAACAAAAAGAAATAAACCATCCGTTTTTGGGTGGTAACACATGCCCATTTTTTTTTTCCATAATTTTATTGAGAAACAAATAGCAATGAGACAGTTTCAAATCTAATTAGTCAGACAGTTTCAATAATTAACACATTGCAGGGCCCTGGCCCTAGCTCAGTCCTTTAAGTGGCAGCTTCCACAAAGCTGTCAGCCTCAGGTTGCTGGAGTTCGAACCTCACAACTCTCCCGCTGGCCAAAAGTGCCCTGAAGGCATTCGAGGAACAAAAAAAAAAAAAATTAACACATTGCATACTGTCTTCCTAGTGGTCATTTCTTGTACAAGATGCAGACATGATATCCTATTTACAGACATCTTTATGCCCAAAAAAAATGTAAATAACTGAGGCAGTTCCTCATGAAGTTCTCAATACCTTGGCAATACATTAATTGGTATGCTTACATGTTAAATGTGCGTGGGCATGGGGTTGAGGGGAAAGCATTTGTGTTCTCCCTTTCTGCTGTCAGAGAAACTTGCTAAAACTCAAATTGCTAATTGAAAAAATGAAAGGTAACAGAACAGACAAGCTGCTCCCATTTCCTGTAAGTGGTCAGTTCCTTACTTTGTTAATCCTTCATATGCATCACTGCTAATGCCACTGTCCAGGGCGGTATGCAAAGTGAGCAGGACTTTTCCCCCTGCTGCACTCAACATTTCAGCTAAAGAACTGCAAATCCCCAGGAAACTTTCACTTTGACTTCGGTATGGATCAAGGGTGATATCTAAATCCTCTTTAAAGCACAATACTGGGACTTTGAGGCTTTACTCTGTGCCAGCTGCATTTTCTAAAAGGGTGGATCCCCATCAAAGGGGGAAATAAATAAAAGCAGGGGTGAAACAAAGCCCTCCCCCCAGTTGTTGTCATCCATCTAAAATGAGCAATGCTTATAGAATACCTCTGACTCTTGTTGGGGTCATAGTAGACTTTAGCCAACCCATTCGCAGTTCCAACCATGATCTGGTTCAGCTTTGGATGCCACAGGCAGCGGACTACGCTCTGAAAGGGAGAGAGGCATGGGATTCAACACAAGAAGCCAAACAGAGGTGGGGGCAAAAATCCTGCTGGCACTTTGATGGCTAGTTTACTAAATTAAAAGAAAATATTAATACGCCATCCTGACAACAACTTGTAAGTCTTAGGATACCTTCTTGAGGTTAAGTTGCAACCCATTACTTCTTATCTGTATGAAACCATACAAGTAAGAAACGATGGTCCTTTCCTGATATGACCCTTTTCCTAACAGCCTTGAAGCCAAAAAGTCAGGCTGCAAGCCCCGCTACCACGTGAGGCTGGCACCATGGAATGTTGAATCCACATAAGTCAGTTCTGCTTACCACCAAAGCAGATCTGGATCGCAGTGTTTCGTGCTTTTACACACACAAAGTATGTCCCTCTAGGCTACAGATTGAGGCCAGGTGGTTATTGTTTTTAGTTCACAAAGATCCAAGTCTCATGAATATTTTCTTTTTAGAAAGGACACATATTTTTGGTAGGGACTTAATAACCTCACCCTGTATGTGAGATAAAACAGCAGGGCAATGGCAGAAGTAACACAGATACAGAATATAAAAACTTGATATGAATCTGAATTTAAAACAATTTTAGAGAAGGTATACTAGAAGTTATGATCCTCTGGGTTTACTTCTGCTGAGGAAAAACAAGTAGTGCTTTAGAAACATGAAGAACCAGGAGCATTGAGTAAGAACTACAGCCTGTTTTTAATTTTTGTCTGTGGTAAGTGAGCAGAGGCGGGAGGGAGAGCATGAATAGAATTAAAGGGAAAAAGATGAAGATAATGACAATAGGCAGCAACACCATGTACCACATCTGCAGGATTCATTCTCATAGAGAAAAAACTGAGTGAAAACATTAATTCAAGTTTTACTGAATAACCTGTCACTTGCCAAGCTATGTACAGGGGTTAAGGGATAAAAGGCAACATATTTCCATTTCACAATTCTAATGGGAAAATTAAAATCTTGGAACCTCTGTCTCCTACATCTTCTCATGCTGATTTTCTTAGGTTCCTTATCTCTAACAATTCCACTTTTTTGATAAGAAAGAATACATGGGAATCCCTGAGATCCCTTTTGATAAAAATTCTGACTCATCTGACTGGCAAAGCCTACACATCCACTTAAATGGCTGTAGATTCTTTTCTGGGATTCTAGAACACTCTCAGGAGGAAGCTGAAAAGAGGCTGCATGGCTTCCCATTCACATCTAGAAGTTCTTAAGCTATGCATCCTTGAAGAGGACTCCGTTATTCCTGGAAAGAATCAAACCTGAGCTTGTGCTTTCTCCAACAGCACACTGCCAGTAATCTTAGTGTTTCCCTCAGAGCTTTGCTTAAATCTATAGTGCTTGGTGCCCACACAAGTGCTAAAACATAAATCATACAACAGTAACTACTAATAGAAAAATCTGAAAACAATACATTGTACTTAATGTGACAATTTGGTTTTCCTTTTGTTGTTTATGCTTTGTAGACATGTTCATGGGATCTACTGTACTTCATAATGTATGTACGTAAAAATCAAATTATCTCCAAAACAAAACTGCTCCCATTTGGCAAGACAAAATTAAGTAAATCAACAGCTCACAGTCTGCAAAGCAGCATTCTGACTTCAGGTATTCTGCCACTGAGCCTAATTTGAGAATCATGCCTAGGTCACTGGACACTTCCTGATGGCCACAGCCAGGCGTATGGAACTGCAAGAAGAGTCACAAACCTAACTTCCTAACATCACACTTGTGTCATCCTATCTAGAATAAGTTCATTTGAGCAAAGACACATCTCGGTTTTGGCTTAAATATCATCACTATGCAGACTACCCTAATTAAAATTGTGCCTGACTGCTCCCCTTACTACCTTTTTCTTTATAACATGCTTTTTTTTTTTTTTTTTTTGGTGCCAGGGGTCAAACTCAGGACCTTGCTTGCCAGGCAGGCACTTATACCACTGAGCTATATCCCCAGCCCTATCAACATAATTTATAATTTATTTATTCTGCTTGTTGTCTGCTTCCTCCACTAGAATATATGTTATATGGCCACAGACTTATGTTTTATGGTATTCCAAGTGCCCACTCTAGAGTCTGATAAATGTGTGCTAATATAATGAATTAAAAGCTACAATTCAAAAATAAATAAATAAAATAAAATAAAAAAGCTACAGTTCACCAATGTCTAAATGACCTACTTTGCTAGGTACAGCTGGAGATATTTTCAGGTTAAAGTCATTACTCATCATGAGGAATAATTTGATTTCTCCATATTATTATTATACTCAGGTATCCTACAATTGCAGCCACGTTTGTTCTTTTCTAGTGTGGTCAAAGAGGAAGGACATGTACAAACCAGAGAGCAAGAGAAGACAACGAGAGGGGCTTTCAAATGCCTTTAGAAATCTCAGCCGTGTACAAATGGCTCTAGGACAGTCCTAAGGGCACAGTATGAGAGTCATTTCTCTTCCTTAGTTCTCCAGAGATCTAGCGAAGCGTCTAAGATTACTGGTTCTCAAATATGTTTTCAAGTGAGCAGGGTGCAGAATTGGAAAGGATCCACAATGTAGGCCTGATAAATTCCAAGACATCCAGCCAAACAGGCAGTTTCCAGGGGCAGCAGGTTACTGTTACTCTCTCTTTCTATGCTGAGGGTGTAAATGTTAGAGAGAGGCAATTGCTCAGGCCAAGAGACCAATGTCTGAGTGCTTTCCAGGGAGACCAAGGGCACTGTACCTCTACTCCTATTCGTATTCTTTATCCTTCAAAGCGCTCTCTATCACTCTGTCTCTCTCTGTCTC